TTTTCTTCCCCAGGCTGAAGAGCCCCAGTATCTACATGGCATTACCTATGTAAGCACTTTTGCATGCCCACCGAAGAACACATCCTCTTGCATGCACAAGCTAAAAAATTACCCTTAAGAGACAGCACAACTGACTCAGTGGGCTCCTGAATACAGCCCGTGTATTTAGTTTTTGAAATGTCTTTCCTGGTGGATGTAGAGGGTGCCTGTGGAAGCACCACAAGGCCTGGCAGGAGGAGTGGGGCTGGTGTTCACCCAGTGACAGCTGGCCAGACCACCATGCCAACGTGTTGAGCACCTGCCTGTGCTTGTAATGCTTACAGAACCTGCCAGCCCCTGCTCATTTTGTCACCCAAACATAGGTCAGAGGAGGAATGCTTCCAGATTTCTATGGACATTAAAGCCAGCTGCAGGAAGAAAGAAGATTCAGCAAGTTCAGCAGCTTAACACATGACCTGCTGACTGAACCTAATGGGCTTTCCCCCCTGTGGAGGAGAGAAGAGGCCGAAGGGGCTGACAGCTTTCCTCCCCACTTGACCTTCCAGCCCGTTCCAGGAAGTCCAGATGTTGGCTGGAGGGGCTCAGCTGAAACACTTGGCCCTACAGTCCTGCAGGAGAAGGCAGGTTGTGGCAGAGGGCCTGCAAAGGGACACTGGCCTCCAAGCCCTCAGCATATCACTGCTGGCACGCACTGCATGGGCTGCACACAGCCGTCTGCTGCCCTTGAAAGTCCATGATAATTGTGTGGGTGGACAGAAATAGAAGCACATAAAAAGTTGGCAGGAGTGTCTCTTAGAGAGCTGTGGTGAATGCGCAGGACTGCATTTATAGCTTTTAATCAAAATCCAGTTGTTACCTGGAAGATTGCCTTTATTTACACCTTTTGGGATTGACACAGATTTTGGAACTTTAGTCCATGTCAATAGTAAATACAATTACCTCCAAGCCTCCTACTTCAAAAAATTTATGAAGAGTGAAATACAAGTTTGTAGAAAAGGAAGTCAAAGCTGTGGAAAATATTTTAATGGTACTGGCTGAGAAAAGTTTTCTTTGAAGAACAGTAAAGGAACTTTCCTCTTAAATAACTGCAGATGCAAATTCATCTAGTTAGCAGTGTGATAGGAAATTACCTGAAATACCAATGTATTTCAGAAGTCAGAGTTATTTCCTTTCAAAGGCACATGCTCAACATTATACTTTCAAATGAGATAAAAATGTAGCCTGTGGGACTGAATATGATGCACTCATTCCAGGCCCTGGAAGACTGTCCAGCACCACGAGGTAAAACCAAAGGTCACATCCAAAACCTTTTCATGTTGCCTAAAGCAACATTAAGTGGACTGAAAAAAACTAGCTCTAAGTAGCATTTGGTTGAACTCTCTAGTCTGTCCTCCCCTCTTCCCTTCCTAAAAAGGCAATGGGACTGTGTGACAGATGCCAAGGTTTCCTGCTCAAGTTCTGGTTCTACTGGTGGCTTTTTGGGAGCAGAACATGCTAAGAGCACAATGGAAGCCATGTCAGGGGTTCAATTCACATTATTTGGCACCTGTACACAGCTTATAAAAGTTAACTAACTTTTTCCCAGGATTACTTTTGATTTTTATTTCTTCTCTCTAATAAAATGCATACAGAGCAATAGAGGAAAAAAAACAACAACCTTCTTCTGTAGGAATTCCCTTGTTGCTGGATTACAGATCCATGCTCTTATAAATTATTTTTCCTGTAAGAAATCATAGATTCATGGAATTGTAGAATTGTTTGAGTAGGAAGGGCCATCTAGTTTAACTTCTTCACAATAAACAGGGACATCTAGAGCTAGATTAGATTGCTTAGAGCCCAGTCCAGCCTGACCTTGAATGTCTACAGGGATGGGACACTCACCTCATCTCTGGGCAACCTGTGCCAGTGCCTCACCGCCCTGATCATAAAATTCTTGTATCCAGACTGAAATCACTTTCTCCTGTCCTATCACCACAAACCCTCCTAAAAAGTCTGTCCCTTTCTATCTTACAGCTCTCTTGGGTACTGAAAGGCAACTATCAGCTCTCTGCAGAGCCTTCTCTTCTCCAGACTGAACAGCCTCAGCTCTCTCAGCCTGTCCTCATAAGAGAGGTGTTCTATCCCTTGGGTCATTTTTATGCCTCTCTCCTGGACGTGCTCCAACAAGTCCACATCTCTCCTGTACTGAGGACTCCAGATCTGGACACAGTACTCCAGGAGAGACCTCTCTTGCAGAATTTCTCAGGTTCTGGGAGCTGAGTGGATGGAAATTTGCATCATGATGAGGACTGTTTAAAAGGAAGTAGGAGTTTCCCTGAGACACTCTATAAAACACATCAGTTTTCCAGGATTACAGAGCAGTGGTGCTGCAGTAGGGAATTATTAAAACTGAGACTGCATGATTTGAGAGAAGATAAATGCAAAAAAAAGCTTCTGCCTGGTGTTACAAAATCACTGTAATGAAATTTCTTGGGAATGAAGTACAGCCTCTTTTGTCAAGTCTTGTCATGAATCTCACAGACAAGAGAGAGTGGGGAGGAGAAGCTACTGGTAGACAATTATCTGTATACCAACTGCTTGCTATAGCAGTGGGGTGAATCAAATGCACCTTAGCTGCAGGACTTCAGGTTGAGAGAGTGGAAAATCCTGAAGAAAGGAGAAAGAAAAATTTGAGGTTGACCCACAAGGAGAGAAGCAGTGGACCTAAGATACCCATTTCTGAAGCCAGTCCACAGCAAAAAGATCCTGAGGGACTCAGAGGATGCAGAACAACACATCAGAGTGATGAATGTCTGTGTGTAAAGGAGAACAAGGAGGTAGAAAAGAGTGAAAAGAGGTGCTTCCTTCTTTCACTGTGTAAAGCATGAGAAGACAGGCTGTGAATGGGTTTAAAATAGTCCCCCACGGGAGTGTGGGTTTCTCTGTACATGGGTGTCCACAAAATGATCATCTCTGCATTGTGGTAATTTAAACAGCAGCTTTTTCTTATCTGTGAAAGCATATTTTGTCCTATAAAATGCACAATACCATTGTCCCACACTCCACAACATTAACCCTGCCAACCACAATGCAGTTGGCAAAGTTAGAGTTCTAAATAAAGGATGCTTCCACAGGAAAATGCACATTGGGCAGAGAAAGGAAGATTGTTTGGATTTGAGCTTCAAATCCATTTTCCATATCAGAAATCTGAATGAAAAATGAAAAGAGATTACTATCCCATATTCCTTTCTTGATCTATGGCAGGATGGGATATGTACTCTTAAAAGATAAGAATGAATGACGTTCTGTCACCCCTGAATGGTTAGGAATCGCTGTGTGTGGTTTTATCTGTTTTTAAGTAAGTAGAAACTTTGGGGGGAAAAAACACCTTACATTTTTTAATGAGTCTATGTGACTGACATACTGAAACTGGCTTTATTTTCCCATGGGATAGGAAAACAGGAACCTTCTTGCTTTAGTTATTATTCCTCAAAATAAAATGTGGCTATATCAAGGGCAGCTTTAGTAGGTGGAAACAAGAACAACTCCCAGGGCAAAAACCTCTAGATAAAAGTTGAGCAGTAAATATTAGTGAGCATACTGCATTGTAAGGTCAGTTTATTTTCTAAGAAAACGCACCACTGGTATGCATGTGATCCACTGAAGTTTAGTAAGTATTAATTCATATATTTATAAATTATTTTTAATTTATAGCTTATAACCAATTTGAAAAGGTTAATGTATTTCACAGAAGATCACAAAAAATTTCATCAATGGAGACTGTCTGATAAAAGGTGAGTTTACTGCTAAAATAAAGAAAGGTTACTGACAACAATCAATACAGAATAAGAGAGAAACACTAGCAGACTATACCTCTGGGAATATGTATATTTATATATATATATATATATATAATATATATGTATGCATATGTGTGTGGGAATATCCCCTGCCTTTTTCTTTCTTTCTTTCTTTTTTTTTTCTTCTTTTTTTTTTTTTTTTTTTTTTTTTGGTACACCTTTTGAATGTTAATGTTCAGCTAAAGATGGTTTCAGACAGCCTGCTAGGCTACTGCTGTACTCAGTGAAGCAGAATCCACAGAAGTGTTGCTGAGGCAGAACTGAAATTGTAGCTTCCCTTTAAAGAACTACAGCATTGTCAGACAATTGCTTCTAACACATGATTATGATTCTCCTTCTAGTTTGCTTTTATCTTTTTGAAAAGAAAATCTAAGCCTTTAAAAGGCAGGTTTTGAAGTTGTGTTTTCATCAATGCCTTTGCAATCCTGATCTTTTGTGCTTAGAAACAGAAGAAATGCACAGAAGAATGGAAACTAACAGTACAACTTGTAACTACCTGTAACTGCTGCAGTGGGAAATGGGTCAGGTTTCCTCTCAACTAGATCAAGGTATTTTTTTCACAGAAATTGATTATCTAATTTTCCTTATTTATTTTAAAAACTTACAACTTTTATATTATATATGCAAGATTAATACCATCTAGATACAATAACTCTACAGAGTAGATCAGGAATATTGACATTTGACTTAAAATTTACAATAATTAAATGAATGTGCACCAATTATGTTGCTGTTTGTTATGTGTACCAGTTATGTTGCTGTTTTCTTTTCAGAAAGCATATTAGAATTCATCATTTACTATTCCATGTCATTTTGAGCTGAAAATGATTTTTTTGAGAAGGGAAGTGGGGAGGTGGTGTAAGGATTTGTGACTTAAGGCAAAAAATTGCTTATCTGCCGATTCATATACAATAGAGTCTGTAAGGATTTTAATTATGTTACTGCTTTTAAAGGCTTTAGCATGTTTTATTATTTTATTACAACCACACATTTAAGATACTGTTTTCAGAAAAGATTTCCAACACTGATGACTGAGTACCTGTATGTTCTCCTTCTAAAAGAAGAAGGAATAGAGAGGAAGGAAAAGTGTCTGTCATGTACATATTTGAAACCACTGCACAGGCTCCTGGATGGTGTAAATACTTGGCTGTTTCACGGATTCTTGCTTTCAGATCTTCACAGATAGCATTCATAAATCTAGCAATTACTTCAGCAAACACAGTGAGTAATCCAATCTTTTAGACTAACTTTGGCTTTTTTTCTGCATAAGTCATCCTCACACAGCTTACGGTATGTGTAATCTTTCAAAGGTGAGGTTTCTCTTTCAGCCTTCCATGGTGCATTAAGTAGAAGCGAGGTACATCATAATAGAGATGGTCTAGAAAAAAAAAAAGGCTGATTGCTCTCTAGCTTTGCTAAAGTTAACCCTATCAATTTGCTTTAATAATGTAAACAGCTGAAGGGCACACCAAAATTGTCATTTATCATGCAAAGAGCTGTTAACAAGATGATACATACATATATATGCAAAGAAAGCAATATCAGTTTGATAACAAATATTTAACAAGAAAAGACAAAATATAAAAAAAAAGGTAGGTGTTGTTAATATACCCACTTAGAGTGTGCTGTGATTGATTGTTGCAAAGCACAGTTCAAATGTATGCAAGGCAAATTTGAATACAAGGGCAGGGAATATGTAATTTAATATTTAGCCTCATTCCTTTCTGTAATCAAGTTTTGTTTACCAACAGCAGGCTTAAAATGTCTGTCACAGCAACTGAGCTGTGAGCACATGAGAGTATCTTTGCTCAAATAGTTTGCGTACAGATGTTTGAGCCTGAAGAGACTTGCCATGTGTTTTGTAGCTAAGGAAGTGAGTAATCAGTGAAACTAGTATGGGTGGTATAGGAAAATCATGCACATGGGCTTGGCACCGTTGTGTGCTTGCTACATTCCATGAGATATTTCATAATGGAAACCCAATTGCTCCACTAACATAGGATACCTAAATTTTGTACATACACTGTGAAGCACCTAGCACAGTCACAAGACCATACTCTGTCCTCACACTACTCCAGTAATTCTCAAGTGAATGAGAAAAGGGCATAGAAAATTTCTCAGGGGTTGACATAAAACAGAGAGAAGAATATTCTCTTTAGCCTTGGCCTTGATGCAATCATTACTTAATTTAATCTTTATCACTTAAATTCTGCAAGGTCAAAAGTGTAACTAGGCTAGATGATAATTAAGTAATTAGAACGGTAGCTTGGCCTTGGGTCTAGTTAGCACCATACATTCCCATGACTCAGGAAGGTTTTTTCAACCTGGTCATTTCAAATGCCTGTTTTATGTGATATATAGAACAGTAATGTGAATGATCTGCCAAGAAACAGTAATAAACAGTTGTTGCTACTCTATATGGTGTTTTATTTTTAAACTTTTTTATTTCTCTCTTTTTTTTTTTTTTTTCATTAAACGCTTTAAATCCAGGTTCACACAGACTATGTATATTGAATTTTAATTTGAATGTCTTTAATAGTTTCTTGAGTTATCACTTCCTCATTGCTTTTGGAAGATGAGGGGCCACCAATGCTTATCAGAGTGATTAGCCTGAAGGTCTTTTGTGAAGTCTTTGCTGTGTTTTTGAGTATTTGTGCCATTCTGCAACCATGTGAACATGATCTCTGAAAAGTTTACGAATGGGTAGGATAGCAAAATTCAGAAAAAGCGTGGAAGTGAAATTACAGCAAAATGTGAATATGATTTCTTACAGTTTCTTTGTCTGTGACTTCTCACAAGCATACAAGATTTTCACAATAAAAATGCACACATGTCTGTATTGCCATTTATGTTGCATATGGTAATAAGGGGAAGGGCTGTTTAAACAACAGAGAAAAATCCACATTTAATGCCTTATTAGTAAGTATGTTATTCCTATAGGTGCAGCTCTTGAAATCATTCTTTCCATTTGTCCTACCATTTTAGAAGTAAGAATCTTTACAATTTCCCTAAGGAAATTCTTTTATTCTAGAGCTATTTTCAACTACAGTCGACTTTGATACAAAGGAGATGCTGAAAGCCCAGAAAGGTGCTCTATTATCTAACTAATTTAGTGTCATTTTAGCTTCAAAAACCATGGTGGCTTACCTAGAAAAAAACTGTTATTTGGTGACATTGACCATGTCGTGTGCTAATAAGTTACCTAGTGGGTTACAGGTAGGCATCTGAAACTGTATGAAGTTTATTAATTTTTAGGATGTACTAAGGACTAATATGCTGACTCAGTGCCTCTAATAGTATGCAATATCAGTTCCATTTCTTTGTTTCTTTAAAAATTTAGTATCTTAGAATGTAAGCCCCACCTCAGGAAGATGCATAATTGAACTACATAATGGATGTGCGCACACTGGCAAGGAGAAATAATAATAAGAACCTGATACGGATAGAGTGATGTGCAGCTGTGTACTTATTAAACAATGGATTAGTCACATCTGCTAGGAATCCATTATAGAAAGTAATTGAATAGCATGCCCGTGCTTAAAAAAAAAAAAAAAAAAAAAAAAAAGCAGGGTTAGTTATTTAAATGAAGGATAATCTGTTTGTTCTATCATTTTTTATTTATCTAAGATATGAGAAAAAGGTCTGCACCTAGACGAATCCATCAACTCATTTTTAAACAACCTTGAGACTTTTCCATAGCATAACTTGCCTCATTTCTCAGTGACCGGAACAAACTAAAAACATAGAAAACATAGAATCATTAATATTGGGAAAAACCACTATGAACATCTAGTGCAACTGCAGATCCATCACCACCATGTCCCTCAGTGACACGGTTCTTGAGCAGCCACAGGGATGGTGACTCCAACACATCCCTGGGCAGCCTGTGCCAGTGCCTCACCACTCTTTCTGAGAAGAAATTTTTTGTCATGTCCAACCTGAACATCACCTGGTGCAACTTCAGTCCTATTGCTATTAAATTGGAAAAGAGGCTGGCCCCCACCTCACCACAACTTCCTTTCTCGGAGCTGTAGAAAGTGATAAGGTCTCCCCTGAGCCTCCTCTTCTGCAGACTGAACAATCCCAGTTCCCTCAGCCTCTTCCAATAAGACTTGTTCTCCAGACCCCTCACAGCTTCATTGCCCTTCTCTGGACACACTCCAGGGCCTCATTGCCTTCCTTGTACTGAACACAGTACTTGAGGTGCTGCCTTACCAGTATCGAGTACAGTGGGACTTGATCTCTAGTCATGCTGACTATACTGTTTCTGATACAAGCCAGGATGCCATTGGCCTTCTTGGAAAGTTCTCTCACGTCAGCTTTTCAATCAGGCCACAGAGATGGAGTTCAGGAGGCTGGAAGATTCTCCTGAGGACTGCAGTCATTCTTATACAAGAAAATACAGCTTAATATTATGTTGCCATTTCTGGGTGGTCCCTAGACAGTGAACATTTTCAACAGGAAGGAGTAACTCATGCCTGGCTCCAGTGAAGCTCTGCTGACACAATCGGCACTGGCTGGCAGGGAATGAAATATCAGGCCCAGGATCTACTGTGCAGTGTTCGCCAGCTACTGCAGACAGGAATAGGAATGTGGCAAACCACACTGTTGTGGCCAAAGTGCCAAGGTGCATCCAGGCCAGACTAATTATCTCTGCCTATAAAAAAACTCTTATGTCATTAGCTAGTTACATTCTGCTTTCAAGTACCTGTGTACTTGTATCACTAGGGACAGTTAAATGCTATTTTGGTGCACAGAAAATGGACAACAATCTCACTTACATTTTAGTTTGCAGTAGAAGTGGTCCAAACAGAGCAAAGGATGTGGTTATGCCAGGTGCCATGCCATCCTGTAGAGACAAACCACCTGCCCCCTGAAACCTTGCAATCGTACAGTGTAATGATTGCACTCAGAAAATTGTCTGCTGCCCAAAGCCTAGAAAATATGTTCCTTTCAGCTTTGCAATACAGTCTTGCTATTTTGTTGAATAGAATCTATAGCATAAAGATTAGCATTCAGAGTGTGAAAAGCTCTTAAGAGTAAAATTATTGGACATTCTGCCCATTCCTGTATTCAGTGAATAGCTTTAATGGTATGAAAACAACTATCTGGCTCTTCTCTGTATAATCAAGAAGTGCCTGCTCAGAACCTAAAGAAAATATTGAACTGCATATGCTTGTTGCTGAGCCATTGATTGCATATATCTTTTTGAAGTCAAGTTTCTTCAAAAACTGGGAAGATACTGTTTGCTGAGACTTACGTGCATTCTAAGCTTGACCCTGCTTAAACCTGCTTATCAAAAGCTGGACTTTCCTGACAGTTGCAGATTCTCCATCTTCTTCATTTTTTCCCATAGTTACCTACAGCATTCAGATAACAATTAGAAAAATACTAGGAAAGCATTTCCTAGAACCCTTGGATACGTGAGAGCAAACCTGGGATACTGGATCTTGAGACTGCAGTCTGGGAGAAGAGTATATAATATGTGTACAGTTGACAGCATATTCTTAACAACATTAAAGTCCATGATGTAATATGTGTGCTGTAGAGTTTCCTGAAGCCAAATTAGAATCATAGAATCACAAAACCACAGAATCATAGAATCATAGAACCATAGAATGGTTTGCTTTGGAAAGATTCAAATCCCATCCAGCCCCAACATTTCTACATTTTTTTTTGTCAGCTGATATCTGAAACACACTTTCAAAAGACTGGATGTTTCAATTTTGGATTTTCCTATCCTTTCAATCATCACAGAATCATAGAATCACTCGGGTTGGAAAAGACTTAAAAGATTCATCGAGTCCAACCACAACCTAACCATACTACCCTAACTCTAACAACCCTCTGCTAAATCGTGTCCCTAAGCACCACATCCAAAAGTTTTTTAAATGCATCCAGGGATGGTGACTCAACCACCTCCCTGAGGGCCCTATTCCAATGCTTAACAACTCCTGTAAATAAATTTTTTCTGGTATCCAACCTAAACTTACCCTAGCATGTAAGGTGCTTGTTCATTCACTTCCTCGCAACTGATGGTGAGCAAAGAACTCCTTGTTTCCTCAGATCATCAGTTGAAGCTGAATTGAATTGAAACAGGGAATAATAGCCATGCACTGCCAGTATTTGTGTTGCTTTAATAATTCCTCCATTTTATTTGAGGCGTACTTTTTAGAATAATTCCAGCAATATGACAGTATGACTGACCCAAGACTAGTGGCAAAGCAGATCTAACTGTGTAGAAGTTCCACTATGTGCATACTATCCACAGTGTTGTGTTTGTCTGTTCCTATTTCTTCCTCTTACAATTGGCATGACAAGATCAGCTCCCCCTTTAGCCTTCCTTGTTCCTTTTCCTGAAGATACACCTCAGGTAATATTGGCAGTATCACAGGTCATACCTGCTGACATCCAGCTGTTCCTCCTTCCCACAGGATGCAGAACCCAGAATTGAGAGTCTAGCAGACACCCAGGCAGATGGTGATGGCTGCTCAAGTGCCAGTCTGGTAGTGGTGCAGCATGTGCCCTGCTGTCCAGAAACAAATTCATTCAGAAGACTTGGCAGTCCTTCTGGTGCCAATGGGCAGATGACATAAATACCATGTGCTTGCTAACAACATTTCTAAATCTTACTGTGGTTTTAAGTAAGAAGAGGAAACATTTGCCTTTAAGCTCAATTATCAATTGACTTATTTCAGGGTGTTTTCCTAAATATTTTCCTCTCATTTCAAACATGAACAGTTTATGCACTTTCCTCCCAAATGATGCAATGTTACAATACACTGAATGGTCACTGCCTTCCATCTTGGAGAGACATGTATTCGACTGTCCTGTATCAGATCCTGAATCATCCCACCTCAAAACATTTTGGGTCACTGTGTTTAAAGCCATAAATACACTTGTCTTTCAAGCCCCCACTTAGGGTTCTATCAACTGTAGTTCATCTGTCCTGCAACAGCGCACGCAGTTTGCTTCCCACTTGCTGTTTCTGTAGGTAAGCCAATGGAGCTGCGTGATCAAAACCTTCCTTTATCCTTTGCAGGAAGAAGTGTTCTGCCCTAGTCTGAGTGACAAGGTAAAGCAGAGAGACTACTGCTAGTTCAGGTTCTGGTGACATTTAGCACCAATGGCTGGACTCTGCACTACCAACAAAGCAAAATGAGATTTCTGTAGGTCTCGCATACATGACACAGAGAGGCAAGCAAAACTGTTCTCTAATTCTTTTCATCTAATTATTCTTCACTAGGAGAAAGTTGCATTGAAGTAAACAAACAAAAGGGCTATTCACATTTAACATTGCTTCTCCCCTTGCCCCACAGATAACGAAGTGCATCTAAATGGCTTCTACTATGGCCTTAGCAAACTAATGATGAAAAGGAGGAGACTGTGGGATTATTGGTTTCATCTTCCCTGGATGATGAACGGAGAGATATTCACTGCCACTTTGGTGCCATCTGGGAATGTGACACCAGATTCTAGCATGACCCTGGAACAGAAAACAACCTTTGCCTTTGTGATTTTGTTATTTATTTTCTTGGGAATCCTCATCATTCGTTGCTTCCGCATTCTGCTTGACCCCTACCAAAGTATGCCAACCTCAACCTGGGCTGATGGACTTGATGGGCCGGAGAAAGGCCAGTTTGATTATGCTCTTGCTTAGAGACTGAGAATTATGGAGGGTTATTTAGCACAGCAGTAACAAAATACAATTTCTGGAATGTCTGTTTATTTTGCTTTTGTGTTTCATTATATCAAATGTTAGGAATTACAATATACAAATGTGCACAAAAATCGATTTATTCTTTTTTAAATTAAATCTCAAAGTAAGTTAACTTTGTGAAAGCAGATTAGTGAATCTCCTCGTAGGAAAAAGAGGGGTGTTGCATTAGCAGAATGTTACTTCAGAACACATTGGAACAATATGTAATATATGTGATCTCATATAACTGAAGCAAGTGTTTTATCATTATGTATTATCATTAACAAAATGCTGTAGTCTAAGGTGTCTTACGAATGCTGTAAAAATGTGATTTTATGATCTATATATAGTAAATAAACTTTACTTTCCATGCTCTGAGGACAAATTAGGAAGTTTTCTGTTTTGTAATTTGAATTTGAGAGTTCAAACACCGCCATGGTTTCCCAGGTTATTTTCTACAGTTGATCACTGCTTGTGCTACTTAATACTACGAAATCACTGGCTTTGTAATCTTTATTGTGAACAAAATATGTAATGATTTTGACCTATGTGTTGCCTTTTTTCCAAAACTGATTTCCACTAAGATTGGTTTTTGAAATGATCTTACAGCAGCTCATGCAAACAAATTTCAGACTGTGTATTTCAGGTACTCACTCATCCTGTTTATTTGGTATGTGTGGGTCACATTGCATTGTTTGTGTTTCCTAATTGGATGACTGAAACATAAGCAGCAAGAACCAATGAAAATGCACCCTCCTTCACTCAAAAAGTACCTTTGAAAGTGTTTGTACAATGGCAAAACATTCCTAGAAGTCACTGTAAATGAACACATATACACATGATTGACCAGGGAAAGAAATGCGTAGAAGACTGCACGAAACTTAGTGGAACAGCTTACGTGTCCACAGTGGAGGTTTGCAAGTGCTGTTCAGCAGTACTGAAATACTAAAGTCTTAACAACATCTGACGTACTGCCAGGGGGGAAAGGCCATGCTCCCAAATACACCAGTGTTGTGAAAACATCCCTGGTGCTGCCCAGATTGTGAAAAATTCCAGGCAGGAGGGACAGGAAGCAGCATGCTGCCTGTCTTAAGACAAAGCCTTAGATATAGCTGTACTACACTCACTGTAACAATGACAAGCAGTTGGGAAGTTCTCCCTTTGTGCTTTGGCATGCAGCCGGTAAGCAAAGCCAGCCTGTAGCTGGTACAGCTGGGGCTGTGCTGACTCATTTGCGCTGTGGCCCTGTCTCTAGCTGTTGCACTTGGAGCTATTTGTTTCCCTTTGCTTCTCATCCTGTCCATCGGCTAAAGGTTGCGGCTATTTGTGGCAAAGACAGTGGGATGGGAGGTGGCTATGCACGGTGGCTAACACAGTTCACAGGAGGGCAGCAAGAGCTCAGCTTCCTGATGGTTTCAAAGAAAGAGGAGGGACTGCAATCTGTGGCTGCTAACACACAAGCACAGCTTTGGCCCTCTCTGTCACAGAGGCAGTAACCTATGATATGGTTGGGCAGAAGGCGACAGTGATGTAGCTATGCTTTCCAGAAGCCATGAGGTGCAGCCTGTCACTGCTTCTCCACCAGTACCAGGGCACCTAGGTCAGAGCTAATGCAAACTTGCAGACTGTTAACTAAAGGCGGTGACAGAGTGGCATACAGAAAATGATCCTGTTGGTGTACCAATACCCCCTAAAGCAATGTCTTTTCAATATTTATGAAGCTGCAGTAACAGCTCCCTCCGGCTTGGGATTTCTCTCCTATATCAGGGTCTACTTTTCCTTTTCCCTTTCCCTTTCCCTTTCCCTTTCCCTTTCCCTTACCCTTTCCCTTTCCCTTTCCCTTTTCCTTTCCCTTTCCCTTTCCCTTTCCCTTTCCCTTTCCCTCTCCCTCTCCCTTTTCCTTTTTCTTTTCCTCTCCCTTTTCCTTTTTCTTTCCCTTTCCCTTTTCCTTTTTCTCTTTCCTCTTTTTCTTTTTTTTCTTTCTTTTTCTTCTTCTTTTTGTAAACACAATAAATTTGAATTTACTTTAAAAGAAAAAGACTTTTCCTCATCATTACACTGTTGTGGTTTAACCCAGCAACAGCTCAACACACAGACATTCACTCCCCACCGCTCCCAGGGGAATGAGGGAGAGAATGGGGAAAATAATGCAAAAGCCGTAGGTTGAGATAGAAACTATTTACTATCATGGGAGAGGAAGAGAGAAATAATAGTAATGATAACAATAATATATATTTGCACATATTTACAAAGCACAACACAGCTGCTCACTATGCACTGACCAATGCCCAGCCAGTCCCCACACAGTGGCCGCCCCCACAGCCAACTCCCCTCAGTGTTACAGCTTTTCCACAGGACACCATATGGCATGGAACCTCCCTGTGGCCATTTGGGCCGGCTGTCCCGCTTCTGTCTCCTCCCAGCTCCCTGTGCCCCCTCAGCCCCTCTCTGCAGACGGTACGAGAAAGCGGAACGGCCTTGGCTCTGTGCAGCACTGCTCAGTGACAGCTGAAAGAAACGTCACTGTGCTGTCAGCACCATCCTTCTCCTGAAGCCACAACACAGCACCGTACCATACTCGATGAAGAAAACCAACTCTGCCCTAATTGAAACCAAGACACACACCTGGATAGGGAGGTGAGGTCTCTGACAAAAAGAACGTAGCCCCATGTTGAAGTGAGGCAATTTGACTCTTGTGTGGAGCTTGGAAGCTGTTAGCTGAGGACTATTTTTGGAACTGAGCTTGCCAGCATCTGTGGTATGTTTGGACGAATTCCAAAGAGATATTTTTGTAAATCACTGGCATAAGTCAGTCTGTTAAAGGGAATTTAATACTGCTGGGCAGTCACTTTAAGTCCGTCTGTGGATGTCACTAAATTCACTGCAGCAGAGAAAGGAAATTCACACCAGTTCCCCCACCGCAGCGCGGAATTTTTCCTTAGCGCAGAAGTTTTCTGAAGACATGCTGGCACTTCAGTCTCGTGATTGCTCCTTTTGCCTTCCCTGGAGAAACTGGGCCAAACTTTGAATGGAAATTTGAGTATTATTCCTCTCTATGAGGCTGTGTCTGGCACATCGCTGGGCCTCATAAGTGTCCATTGTGGAATGATCTGAAATATTAATGAGACAGGAAAGAGAGGATCTGTGTGCTAACGCAGCTGTGCTCAGGCAACTCTGAAGCTCTGCATCACTCTGCTATAGACTCTTGTTTATTACATTGGTTTTCATAGAAAATCCTATGAAATTATTAAAAACTTTTTTTTTTCAGAAGGAGTATTTCTTGATGTCAGTCAAGCAAATATAATTATGTACTGTGGACAAAGAAGTAATATTTGTATATTTTTATAAATACCACATTCATGTTAGATCGTTCAGCAAACTATCCAACTGTAAGCACTTTAAATTGAAGGACTGCTGCAGAGAAAGATAGCCAAATAAGGGCACAGATAAGACTTTACTGGTAGACCCAGGTTTTACTCCAACCAAGATTTTAAGATTTTAAACTTCAGACATGAGGCATAAAGCAAACTGCTGGCCCAAACGGAGTGCTGAGGCGGAAGTCTATCCTCAGCAATGTGTAGAGGGTATGTGTGTGAAAACAGCACTGATGCTGTTTCTCCCCTCCAGCTGGAGGTTTGAGTGAAGCTGGGATGCACTTGAGCTACCTTTACAGTAACCTCAGAAAGCCACATCTCTCTGCACTCTGTAAGAGCTGTGCAGAGGTTACCACTGTGAACTTATGTGCTGCACCCACACAAAAAAATGTCTGATTCTAATGTGCAGCTAGCAGAATCAGCTCCCTTACAGTGGTAGGTGAAGATGCATGACCAGTGATCACCTGGTGATTCTCCCATCTTCGCTCCACTCCCTTGAGGCCTTACCTGGAGTACTGTGTCCAGGCTTGGGGCCCCCAGTAAAAGGTGTGAAACTGCTGAAACAGATGCAGAGGAGACCATGAAGATGCTCAGAAGGTTGAAGCACCTCTCATATGGAGGAAGGCTGAGGGAACTGGGCTTGTTTGCCTGGAGAAGAGAAGGTTTTGGGGAGACCTCATTGCAGCTTTTCAGTATTTAAAAGAGAGTTTGTAAATAGGATGGAGACTGATTTTTTGTATTATCTGATTCTAAGTATTTGAGGTACTAAAGCTACACATGCAAGATGCAGTCTCATGGAATGTTTCCAAGATGTCTAATTCATTGATGTAAATTATGGACCTATAGACCACTCTGTGGGAATATACACTCAGTTTGGTGCAAAGATCAAATCTTGTCAGTGTCAGTGACATCTTTCATTCTTCTCATCACCAAGAAGAAGCCCACAGACCCCAAAGAGAGAAGGAAAGAGGACAAAATTCTTTAATTTACAACGTGACAAGTTCTGTGGCCATGATCAGAAATGTTTCCAATACAAAATCTCATTTTTTTCCATCCTGGTTTATTGAAATATATTTAGTTTGTAAATAGCTTCAAATGTCTACTCATACTGTTCCATCTTGCATGAAAAAAAGCTATTCTGCAATTCTATTCTGTTTTCATAGTTTCTGCAGTTCTACAGAATTTCAGAATTATCTTCTGCAGCAGTATTTTGGAAAGTTTATTTATTTTTTTAATATATAGATTTATTTTTGCAGCATTGATATTTCAGGTTGCCATGGCTCCTGTTTTTCTGCCAGTGCCATGATAGAAGCAGCTGACACTTCACTGCAATTTTTCCTCCCCCCCTCTTGGCATATTGACTAATCAGTACCAATTATTCCCCCTGCATTGTTGTCTGTATGGTTTAGCAGGGCCAGCAAGGTATGAAAAGTTAAGGACTTTTCAAAGCAGAGACAAAAAACACCACTGGTGCAAAGACAGGATCTACAAAGCATGGGGCTTCTTATGTTGAAGTCACTGCCCCCTATCAGCAGACAGTAGGAAATCTATGTTTTATTAGTGGGAGAACAAATGGTGCTGCAGTTG